GGGCATATGAGGAGGCTCCGCAGAGGGGTGCAGATACGGGGAAAGGACACGCGATGTCTTTCCCCCTGCGCCTCTGAGCCTCAACTTCCAAGCGACGCCTTATAAAGAAAAAGAGCGTGCGCGCATGTTTGTCGGTCGCACCCTTTTATCTTGGACTGCATGTTCCCTTTCGGATTGAGGCAGTGATCAAGATTCTAACAGGAACGTTGCATCAGAAACTTGGAGAGCGAGAAGGCGCTCGTCGAAAGCTTTGAAGAGTCGCTGCGCAACGCTGCTCGGGGATCATCTTCAAGGTGATGATGATGAATCATCCATGCCACGACTGACTGTCATCGCAGCCTCCTTTGCACGCCGAGCGTTGCCTGACGGCGCAGCTGAAGCGTAGAAAATTAAGACACGGGGGAAGAGCCATGACGCCGACGATGCGATGACCACGCTTATACTGATGACGGAAGATCGCCGTGATGGCGATGATGATGATGATGATGATGATGATGATGATGCTGGTGATCGCCATGATGGTGATGATGGATGCTGATGAACGTTGGTGATGAGATGATGAGGATGGTGATGGATAGCGATGATGCTGACGACAATGATTACCATCATGATAGTGATGATGATGATGGTTGACGATGGATGACGGTGAGGATGGACGGTGATGATCGACGATGATGGCGATGACCGCAGCTTGATAACGACGACGATGATGATGGGTGATGGATGATGGTGGTGGGCAGTGGGTCGCTTAGGGATCGCGCAAATGGTTCGCTTAGGGATCGCGCAAATGGGTCGCTCCGGGATCGCGTTTTGAAGAAGGCTGGTCGTGCATGCATGCGTGTTGACATGTATGCCTCGCGATGTATGTTTATTTTACATATGCGCGCATGTGTTTGCATGTATGCGCTTGTTTGTGCTTGTTGGCGTGTATGTCTCATGACACATGTGGCGTGTGTGTGTCTCATGACATATGTTACTATGTATGCGGGCGAGTCCATGTATTATGTGCTTGTGTGCATGCGTGTTGACATGTATGCCCTGCGGCGTATGTTCGTAGGCGCGCGTATGTTTGCATGTACCACAGAACAAATTGATTGGATTTTGCACGCCCTTGCTGGGCTGGTTCAGTTGAGCGGGTAATTGATTCGATTTTGCACGCCCTTGCTGGGATGAAGCAGTTCAGCGGGTGTGCTTATCATGCACCCCCCCCCCAAACCCCCTCCCCAAGAACCATGTTATTTTGCAATCCGCTAAAAGAGCAGGCTGGTCTGCAGCAGTTGAGCGGGTGTGCTTACCATGCCCCCCACCCAAACCCCCCCCCCCATGATCAGTGACCCCAAGTGAGCGTGTATCCCTAAGTGACCGTGATCCCTAAGTGAACCGTTTGAGCGATCCCTAAGTGACCACTCTGCCATGGTGACGATGGTTTCAGATGATCGATGATCCATGATGGATGATGGGCGACGAGGACGATGATGATGATGCTGCTGATGCTGGATGATGAATGTTCGATGATTCGTGAAGGATGATGATGATGATGATGATGATGAAGGACGAATGATGGAGTTTCGTTGCACAACTAACAAGTCAATCTGATGCTCGAAACTGCCAAAGCCATAACAAGTCAATCAGACTCCTTTCACAAGCCAATCAAGACAATCTAATGCTCCTCACAAGCCAACCTAATCCCTCTCACAAGCCGATCCAAAAGCGAAGAAGCCAATCCAATCCTTCACAAGTCGTTTTGATTACTTTTCAAATCACAAGCCAACCTTATGCATTCCACAACCCAAGTTGATGACAGACCCTCCGACGTAAGCCGGTTGTTTCGGCGGTTGGTTGGTTTGTTGGTTGCTGTTTAGCCCGGATTGGTCAGTTGACTACAATTTTTTGTAGTTGTTGTAACTGGCTGGGCTCTTCGGCTGGGTTGGCTGCTGGGCGTTTGAGTTGGTTTGGTGGAATCAAAGTTTGGTTGTTTGGGTGCGTGCGTGTGTGGGTGGCTGACATTGTTTTGGGCGGGTGTGTTTTGGTTTGAGTTGGTGGTTGGTTGGGCGATTTGTTGGTTGTGGCAGCGCAAGCACCAGGTCAGCCTGTGTTTTTTTCTAGGAAACGGGATGGTGGCAAAGAAGGCACAAGAGCAAAGTGCTCGTGCAAGTTGGATTGAAAAACCGCTGCTAGAGATCATCTACAAGCAGACAAGACGCCATATACAAAACACAAGAGACACGCCCCTGTGCGTATGCGGAGAAATGGCCCCCGCAATGAAACAGCACGTTCCACACTTGTCCGGGTGCTCTTAAATTTGTTTTTAAGCCGCCTTGAAGTCGAAACTGGCTCCGACAAAAGCGGCAAAGTCTTCTTGGCAGAAGCACCCTGACCTTGCACAACTTAGCTGTTGAAGATTGTGCTCCAGTTCTCTAGTGCCTAGAAAATGCCGGTTTTGGCCTTGGAATTGAATGCGGAAAAAAGGAGGCCAAAGTCTGTTTACGGAAATTCTGCAACCTGGCGTAAATGTGTGCAGACAAACAAAGCTTGCGTTTTAGTAGGCTGTTCTGGAAGGGCTGTTACAATGCTCCAGAGCTTGCAGTCAAAGCATGAGCAGACGGTGGCAAACGTCTTCGAGACCCTGGCACGAAACGTGCTCGACGCGGCGGTTGAAGACACACACCACTTTCCGCATGCACGGAGTAACTTGTGGCTGGGCGCAAGTGGTCAGTGACCATTTCTGGCAAACAAAACAACGTTTGGGTCGACCAACTTTGCAGAGGAAAAAGCACACTTTGCACGGTCTGTCGCACACCTCAAAATTGTTTTAACACCCTACTCAGTTAACACACCGCGGTGCGGTCGAACACCGTTGTCGACTCTGGGGTACAATCAGCCTCCGCGTGGGGTGCAGGTGCGGAAGTTGAACATGCGTTGTTAATTTTCACCTTAAGTATGTCGAGCTGCAGAGCTTTCCGTGGAGGCACTAAACACGGTCAGCTCTCCACATCATGCCGTAGAAGTGTCAAAAGGGCCACCCAAATGGTGGCCGTATCCATGTGCTCACAAACCCTGTCCAGTACAATTTCTCTGTCGACACGAAGCAGGCGATTCGGCAGAACGAGGGTCCCGCCTGGAAGAGGACAGCGCTTTTAGGCAAAGCACGAGGGCCTTCTTCGGAAAGACCGGGCAATTCATTTTTTGAAAGTCCATCCGCCCTGTTGCTCACTTAGGTCAATCCTCCGTGATCGGCACTTAGACATGCGGTGAGTGCTGTTTCAAGCCAAAAGGGTGGAACAAGCTGAAGCGTATCGCAACCCAACCCGCACCTGCACCCCATGCGGAGCTCGCGATCAGCAACGTGTGTTTGCACCGCAGGTCTGTTACCCGGGGTGTAGAACGAGAGGTATACAGACCATGCAAGGTGTGCCAATATGGAACGTGTTGCATTCAGTCGCCTGTTCGGACACGCATGCAACCCGACTTTCTGGGATGCTGGGGAAGCACTGCATAAGTGACTTATGTGAACAGGATTCTAAGGCGGATATATTTTCTCTGCTGAGTCAACGTGCGAAGCGGTGCTCAGTTTTTTTTTTTGTTTTTTTTGTCAAGTGTTGCTCAAAGGTGCAGATGGATCGACAACAAGTTCGACCTTCACTGTAGGTTTGTTACTTACTGGTGAAACGAACAGGAGGTATGCCGATAGCAGCAAAAAACAATGCGTGCCTTAGTGCAGGAAAGTCAGAATAAAACGTATTTTACTGACCAAATCCGAGGATGGAAAGGCTAGTAGCTGAACATGCGTGCGCATGCTGAGCTCACGCAAGGCTCGACCTGGATGGTGACAGGGTGGGTGGGTGGGGATCGAAAAAGAGAGGGATCAAACCCTCAAAAACCGCAAAAGGCTTGAAGCAGAAATGGCAACGCCGCCGAAGCTTCAGCAGCGCGGGTTCACTGTTGCGCACAGCGCTGTCCAGCACGAAAAGGACGTTGAACTTGCCTGTGCCGATCTTACATTTCCCTCACAAGATTCTAGGGGCAACGTGGGTGGAATGATTTCCCCCCCAACATCTTGCTCACGTGAGCCAAACACCCGAGCAAAATGTATTTTGAGCACCAACGTTGCCGTTCACGTGACAAAATAAAACAAGGAATGGCATCGAACCAAAGTTTGGAGATATAGTTCGAGAATGTTGTGCGTGCCATATCCTCAAGCGTCATAGCCATTCCGAGTCCATTCTTGTGGGGCCTCTCAGAACTAATTGTTTGCTTGGCGTGAGATTCTACATTTTGGAAGCACATGAAGCACCTTCAATCCATTCGCTGGCTACCAGCTCGTTCGTATTGTGTCTGGATTTGTCAGCAACGTTGCATGTCATGGACCCTTTCAGCCATTTCCCCAAAGGCGGCTTCGAGGGAGAATGTCAAGGAGGGTTAGCAAAACAGCAACTTTCTTCAGCGATGGACATTTTATGACCTTTCAGTTGAATGTGTTGTGGTGACCCAAACCTCCCCAGAAATTCATGTTTCTGCTCGGCGAACATGTTGCGTGTGTGCAGCATTTGCAACATAACCAGTTTGCAATGTGCAGAAGACGCATGTCAACACGTACAGCAATATTTCAGCACTAAACGAGAACCATTCCGTTGCACATGTAACGTTCATTTTGTAACGTACACCTACATCATTGCATCATGAAACATGTCTGCTGCATGTCTTCCCTTTTTGTGCTGCCAAACAATTGCTCACTCGCGGCAATGGCAAACTTATACGACTTAGCTGCATTAGCGAGACCACCACGCGGGATTTTGCAACCTCGACGGCTGGCAGCTGATGCGCCGATAGCGTATTCGCCACAGCTGCTTCCACCAGCAGGGGGCAGCAGTGGAAGTGGACGGACAACACCTGGGACTTGTTCTAGCAGCACAGCCCTGAATGTTTCAGCACTCCTTGGTGTAGCTGGCGCTGGAAGCTTGCATCGATCGAATGTCCGCAGTTCCCGCCACACAAGAAGCATGTGCGTCGCGCAACGTGCGGGAGCAGAGTACGGAGATGAATTTGTGGGTGAGGATGTGGACGACGA